CGCTGTCAACAGACAATATGCAGTCAAAGGAGCTCTCCATGCAGATGAAAAAAAGCCTTCCTTTAACCTCGAAAACAGAAAAAACCATCAGAGAAAGACAACAGTGGTGGATGATCAACAAAAGCCAACCAAGTGAACAACATTCAGAAGGTATCAATATCCAAGTCCACCATAAAGAGAAGACTACATGAAAGTAAATACAGAGGGTTCGCTGCCATCTCCAAGCCACTCCTAAGCCTCAAGAAGAGAAAGGTTAAATTTTAATTTGCTTAAAAATGAAAAAAACAACAACAAACAAACCCCAAAACAAAAACAAAATCCATAAAAAAGCAACATAGTCCTGAAAAAAACATTTTTTGGCAGATGAATCCAAAATCAACCTCTACCAGAATGATGGCAAAAAATGGAAGAGCTCATGATCCAAAGCATACCACATCATCTGTAAAACACGGTGGAGGCACTGTTGTGGCTTGGGCATGCATGGCTGCCAGTGGCACTCTGACACTAGTTTTTATTGATCATGTGACACAGGACAAAAACAGACGAATGAATTCTGAGGTGTTCAGAGACGTGTACAAAGAAATGCTCAAATCCAGCTAAATGCAGTCAAATTGATTGGGCGTCATAATACAGATGGACAATGACCCAAAACATATAGCCAAAACAACCCAGGAGTTTATTAAAGCAAAGAAGTGGAATATTCTTCAAATGCATTTCACTTGATCAAGACTAAACTTCAGACAGAAAGGCCCACAAACAAGCTGCTGCAGTAAAGGCCTGACAGTGTTAAAAAGGAGAAAACACAGCATGTGGTGATGTCCATGAGTTCAAGATGTCAGGCTGTCATTGGCAGCAATCTTTTGTTCAACCCACTGAATTAAAGCTGAAAATCTGCACTTTAACTACATCTGAGTGGTTTCATTTAAAATTCTTTGTGGTAATGTGCAGAACCAAAATTATAAAATAAACATTTGTCTCTGTCCAAATATATATGGACCTAACTGCAGTTACTAAGTAAAAGGGAAAATGGGGTTTAGGAAGAGAGACTTACTTTTCTGTCTTTCTGCTTTCCTCCTTCTTTTCTTTTATATCTCTCCTTATTTTTTGTTCTGTTTTTCTGTTTCTTTTTCTCTTTTTGCATTCCTGTTATGTTGCTCTTTCTTCAACTTTTTTCACTTTATGTCCATGCTTTCCTAATCTCTTCTGTTTATCTGCTACTTCCATTTCTAGCCTTCTCCCTTTTCATCTCGGCTTTGCCTTCGTCAGTTTTTAAGGTAAGCTCCTAAAAAGACACACAAAGCATTTTATTTTCATTTTGAAAAGAAAAAATCTTACAATCCATCATATTATCATGTAACTCAAACGATGAGGTAAAATGGCATTAGCTCAGCGTTTTGCATGGCTCGTGAGCCTGATGAGCTTGATCTCCTCCTCCAGCTTTCTCACCATCTTGACAAACTCCTCACCATGGAAAGCTGCTTCTCTTTATTGTCTCTTCTCTGTTTCTGAAGCCTTTTCTCTTTCTTTCTTTCTTTCTTGCTGCCAGCTCACATCTGAGACAGTCCTCCAAAGCTTTGAAATTTTTCTGGCATTCAGTTTTGCTCTGGTGGTGTTTCGACTTAATTGTTTTCAGCTTGGCCAAATGTTTTTCTACCAGTGCCATCATTTCAAGTTTGAAAATTCAGCTGTCTTGGATGAAGTTTTTCCACAGTGTTCCTACAGAGTTTTAAACTCAATGGTCACCCCCCCCACCTCCCTGCCAGCTTTGCTGTTGTGTTTAGTGACAGCTTCACCTCATTGCCTTGTTTGCACTCTGTCGCTTGGTGTTTTTTGACCTTCTCACTCTCACTCGGCTGGATGCTCAGATTTTCTTTTAAGATCCAACCTTACTTCTCCTTTTCTTTCAGTTTTCTGTCAGTCTCCTCGCACATAGTGTCAAACTGTTTTTCACTGCTTTTACAAAGCTTTCCAAGTCCTGTCTGGCCATTAAAAGTGTCGACACTTTCTTGAGCTCCTTTCCAGCAAATACCTCCCCACACAGCAGCATTTTTTTTTCTCCTGTCAGCTCCTTGGATTTTTGTTGTTGTTGTTGTTGCTTGTCTTTTTAAGTCCAAAAGGGGTTTGTAGCAAGATGTGCTGCATTTTGCTGGGGTATGTGCATGTAGGTATGCGATTTCCTTAGCCTAAAAAGTTCAAAAATGAAGTAAAAATACATGTTCACAGTTAAATGCAATAAAACTATTTACATTTTGATGAGACCTAACAAGAATCTGTGAACTATGAATGAATATGAACTTTTAGCCAGCTAAACATTCATCACTTATCTTATAAATAATTTATAAAAGTTAATTATCACAAGAGTTTACTCAAAAGACACAGAGGATTTAATGTCAGAGAAATTTTCCATCATTCACAGATTTTTCCACTTTCAGTCCAGTCGCCAACAGTGTCTTCAGCCCTTCAGATTCAAAATGTAATGCCATGTCATGTATTTGATTTATCTCTGAATTTCCAACTTAGTTATAACTAAAAATATATTTTGCATTCAATTTGAACCCATATTGTGGACGCGGCGGATTTTTGTCCCAGATGTAATAAATTCCCTCCAAGGCATCCTGATAGATCACATTTACAAGAAATTGACAGATTTTTGACCGGTGACGCTGGAAGATCAGGTAACACTGATAGATGAAATAGAACGGCGCACAACTTGTTTTGGCCACTAGGTGGCGATAGTACTTCAAGAACAGTACATTGGGGGTTTCAGGCTGTGGAAATTGGGTGGAAAGGCTTTCCAGAACAGCTGTTAGTAATGGTTTATATATACATTTCATTAGGAAACGCTCTCATTAGAAAACGTTCGATGGTTACTCTATCTGTACCAACACACAGTGTCGATTACGCTTATGGTCCATTACAATTTAGAGCCAAATATACATGTATTTGAGAGGTTTAGCAACCGTTAGGTAATCAACCCAAACAGGAAAATAAGGTGTAACAACATTGACAATTTTAATGTATTACAATACCCAGTATTTAAAATCAAGTCCAGACTGACCCACTGCAATGTAATAGTGATATTTTTATCACTCCTCATTACTTTTGGTCCTTTAAGTGTACTTCGTACTTGTCTCTGTGTGCACCTTCATGTTTAAACAAGGATAAATAAGTAACAAGTGTTTCTCGCAGCAGGCTGCATAAATGCTGAGATGCAACAAATGTTTCCAGACAGATTTTCCTTTCCTGCGGCCTCTCGTTTTCTTCATCAAGGTGAATGATTACCTCTGAAAGGAAAGATTTATGAAGGGGAAACACAACTGAGGCGGCTTTCCTTGGCTGCATAATGAATTTTTCATCGTAGGCCTTCAAAACTGCTACTCCATGGTTGTACCGGCTAGACAGAGAAGATGTTCAGTGACAGCTTAAGGGGTCCCTTCTCTGAATGAATTATAGCTGATTCTTGTATTCTCACACATTTCATTGATCACTCTGACATCTGCTTTTTTTCACAAAGGCTCTTACCCCAGCTCTCTACTCTCTGTATGGCCCTATAATCGCTTCCTCCAACTTTTAAGTTTACATTTTACACATAATCCTGTTTTAAAGCTGCTCAGTTTGAGCACTTTTTTCTTTGACATTGGACAATATCCTCTGTCCTTCCTTCCTTGATACTGAATCAACCGACATTAATGTTTCCAAAGAAAGTTGTTTAAATACAATCATCATAGGCATGAATGTCATGGTAATTTTTAATTTATTTGAACTGTTCTTTCCCCAGGATGGATAGATAACTGTGACGTTCCTTAATTTGTTTGGGAACTGCTTCTTTTACAGACTTTAAATGTTTGGGAACTGAGAAAACCACTTGCTGCATTTCTGAAAGCCAAATGTTTTCCCCATTTCTACTGAGCAGCTGTTCAACACTTCAGGGCCTCCTTTGTTGTAATTTTTATTTCATAATGTGTGCAGTGAAGCTCCTCTTTATTACTTCACAAAACAGCATTTGCTCATGGATAAATTGTACACATTGTACAGATAAATGATCACACACACGCAAAGATTGAGGTTATGGTGTTTTATTGATTAGTGTTGTTGGCAGGGTCCAAGCTGGGAGTCACAAAAATAAAGATTAGATTGGAAATCTTGGTTATGCCAAATAAACAAAATTATTTTAACTGATGTCGTTGAAGTGAAATAAAGGATAGAAGTTAATGAGTGCAATAACTAACCCTTTTATCTGTGTTTCCTTTCCCTGGTGTAAGTATACAAGTATAATAAGTATACAAACTTATATTTTCAATGACAGCTTGTTGGTTAATTGTTTTCTATTTAAATAAAGTTCACAATATTTGTAAATTTATCTAGTACTAATAAAGTTTAATATTAGTAATCTGATTGTGTAATCCATTAGTTTAGCTGACTTTTTAATAGCAGTCCACAGAAGTTCAGCCAGTTCACATCAGAGGATGCTAAACCCACATGCCACCTCAGATCAGAAGTGGTGTTTTGTGGTTTGTGATGTTTGTCTAAAAAGGCTCTATAGAAATAACATTTTACTTAATTACTTTTTAGTTTGCTTTTTTATGTTTTGTCCAAATTCATTGAAGCCATCCACAGGACGGGCCACAAGCCAGTGTTAGTCCTACACCCAGATAAAAGGGCAGGACTACGTCAGGAAGAGCATCCGGTGTAAAATCTTTGCCAAATCAGACATGCGGATACAAAGACCACAGATGAGGTTCATCGATGGAGTGATGGAGGAGATGCAGAAGGTTGGTGTGACAGAGGAAGACGCTTGGGACAGGGTGAGATGGAGGCAGATGATGAGTTAATCTCTAATGCAGGTTTTTGATGCGTCCTTGATCCAGCACAGCTGATTTAAATGGCTAAATTACCTCCTCAACATGTCTTGAAGTTCTCCAGAGGCCTGGTAATGAACTAATCATTTGATTCAGGTGTGTTGACCCGGGGTGAGATCTAAAACCTGCAGGACACCGGCTCTCGAGGCCTGGAGTTCCCTACCCCTGCTCTAACAGGAGCAGCCAAAAGAAGATGCAGCTGAAAGAAGACCTGCTGGTCTGTACTTCATTTCCTCCTCCTTTAATCCAACTGCCAAATGTTTTGGCATTTTGTGTTTCAATCTTTGATTAAAATATTTGAAATGATTTTATTTGATCAGTCCAGTGTGTGTGTATATATATCCATGTATGAAACAAATTTATTTGGTCAAGATATTTCTTGGCTTAAAATATTTGAGAACGTGCTATGACCTGCTGTCAGGATGCTGTAGTAACAGAGAGTTGGAGCCACCCCGAGCAAATGGAAAAACAATAACAAAGGCATGCATGAGTCCAAACACTCACAACAAAGATGAACAGTACACTTATTGTTGGGCACATTCAGATTCTACATTGCTAAAATATATTATTGTAAAATTGTGTGACAGATGGACAAACAGCATCATTAAAAAAAACTGGTACAGAAGAGGGCAAAATCAAGCCATACGTCATCTTAACCACTTTTCTAGTTCAGGGTCAGAGGTGGACTGGGGCTTGTCTCAGGTGTTACAGAGCGAGAGGCGGGGTCCACTCTGGTCAGGCTGTCAGTCTATCACAGAGATTGCAAAAATCCAATACATCAGTATTTGTTTCTGTATAAAACTGTTTAATGCACTCCAGTATTTACATATCAAATCTAGAAAATATGCACAATGTTAAAATAGCAGTGATTTGCCCCTCATTCAGTTTTGTGCCATAGCCCTTATTATATACAATCCCAGGCCATTAATAATCAATCTTTAAATAGGACACATATAGTATATAGCTAACATATCACAATGCAGACTGACCAGACGATTTACACAACATACCAATATCACAATCTTTTTAAAAAAATCAACAGCAAACACATGTTAAAATATTAATCTGTATGTAATTACATTATGTTTGTGCCAAGCAGTTACCAGTGTAACATGAGGTTAGAATACAGTACAGTTTAAGACTTACAGCTTGGGGCTGGGGTCGCTTACTGTCTCGGTTCAATCAATTAACAAATTAAGTTGTGTCAGGAACTAATGAGAAGACCATTGATTTCTTTGCCCAGTTGATCCTGAACTGAGAGGGAAACAACCCCAGCCCAGATGTATTCGAGGTCAGGCATGTGTGTTTGTCTACATTTGGTAATGAAGAAAAAGAAAAAAAAGATGTATTCAGAATGGCCCGGATGTCTTTACTGCTGTGTGTATTTATTACATTTCAATAAATAAACTTCTTTTAACTCTTTGCAGATTTTTATTTTCACCTTTGCAAAAACTACTTAAAATGAAAATAACTTTACTCTTCTTGGTGTCAGTAAAACATTTGTTAGAGAAAATATAGCATTCAACTGAAAAAATTAGACCTATTTCACGTCAAAAAAAGCAACACTTGTTACAGGCTGTGCTCTTGCTGCTATTAACAATGTTTTGGCATATTTTTTTAAGCAAAAAGCCTGAATGGCACTTCCGCTTCTTTTCTTTTCGCACACACAATGATACATTTGTTGCACTCCTTCCAAACACACGAAAGACACAAGTTTGAGGTTGAAATTGTGCCGAACACAAATTGACTGAACCCTGAACCCACAGTCTCCTTCAAACGGTAAATTCATAATAACCTCTGAAGGTAAACTGTGCCTACACACTCCTCCGTTTCCTGTGAAACTTGGGGAAGATTGACTATCCTGTTGCCTGTTATATCCTCTCATGCTCATGGGGTGCTTGTAATGATGACAAAACACCAGCTTAGACTAAGTTCTGATATACTCTCCTTCATTTAGAGGAGTTTCAGAGACGTCTCCCTTCAGAAAATGGTTGTAGGATTTTACTGCTGTCACCCTACACTACAGGCAATTGTGCAGAACTACTTTCATCAGGCTGATGTCTCCATGAATAGGCACCATTGGATCGAGGGAAAAGAGGCAGAGAAGGTCAGGCCATGCAGACAGCTCTTCTTCTGCCTTCTGTCCCACTGGTTGATACTCTTGACACCAACATCCAGCAGACATGGAGACAAAGAACGAGTGGAGATTAGCTTGTATGGTGAGTGTGAGCCAATGTAAGGCTTAACCAGAAAACATAGCACACGTGTCCAAAAAAGTTTAGTGTAACACAGAGGGCTTCTGCATGCCAAGTATCATTGCATCGGAGCACTGGATGTATGAGTAAAGCGGTTGTCAGACAACTCTGACTGGCTCAAGATGAGGCTCGGTTAGTGAAGGCCCGGGTGACTCATCCAGTCGGGCGGTCAGGCGTCTACCAAGGGAGGAATAAAAGGGATACAGTGTCTTCTGTGCCTCTAATAAGCAACTCATGGTGGTGGGGGCAGTCGCACATCAAGCAGGCTATAGGCAAAAATGTTCCAGAAAACAGCGCAGAGCACAAACAAGGTGTAGACACAGAAAAATATCCAAAACAGGGACTGCTCCTGGAGCCGCTGCTCATAGTTCTGCAGAACAACCACACCAAGCGTCAGGCCGACCACCACTCCTCCCAGGTGAGCTACAAAGCTGGGATTCGGGCAAGGAGGAAAGGCCGGAGGGTAGAACCGGAGCCATACTGCTCGACCAAACTCTACACTCACTGTGGACAGGAAGGAGAAAGGAAGACATAATGGCAGCGAGATGTGAGCATGTAGGTGAAAACAGCAGCACTTTATTAAAAATAAACAGTCCTGACTTTGAGGTAGATGAGCTATGATAAAAAAAGAAGGATGTCAAGATTTCTTAAAATAAGACATAAAGCAACAGTGAACCTTTGTTATACAAGTTTCAATTGCTCTCATCCTTTCTCTTGTGTATTTGACTTGATCTGCTCCTAACAACCTTCTAGTGGAACTGGGGGTGAAAAATTCGACAGTCCTTGTGCTGCTGCAAAATTACATTCTGAAGTTTTATGCAAAGTTATTATGAGGCTTCAGCTTCAATAGCCAGGATTATGCAAATCAAGTGGATGAGCATGTTACACACTCAAAGTCAATATTAGTGCAACTTTCCCTCTTGGGGTTTCACAGACATATTTTGCTACTGCGTTTATGTGGCAGGATAGTAACAGAAAGAGGGAGGATTTTTATTTGATTTAAGACTGACTGGAAGCAACTCACCCAGCTATTTGGATGGAGTGTGTCAAAGGTTACGAGCAACAGAGGAAATTTAGTTTAATTTCAGTGAATCTGGCACGACTACAGTTTTTGATTCGCTGCTTGTTTAGTTGTTGTTTTCTGTTTTTGGAGAAAATCACTTTGAACTTGTCAGATCTGGGTTGCCTGGAATCCCATCTAGCCTTGCAATGAAGTTTGCTTACATCACCCCATTGCAGTGCATCACAACAATCACAGTGTCTTAGCAGCGAGAAATCCTTCATGTGCTGAAGCTCCAAAGCCAGAAAGCTTATTATTGTAGCATTTGGAGAAAATAAACACTTTTTTTTTTTCAAGAACAGGAACATTTGTTTTGACATAATTAATTTCTGGTGCTGAAGTAGTAACACAGCAAAACTTTTCTGTTGAACGAGAAGTGTTAAGAGTGGGAGTGTGGCATATTTATTCAGACTTACTGCAAACCAGAGCCATGGCCATCCGAAATAACTTAAACTGACACTTCATTCCTGACCAATTCTGCAAAGAAGAGAAAGAGAGAGTGGAGAAATCATAATGAAACACATTTCTGATGATAAAGACAGAACTAACTCTGCTAGAAGAGAAAGTCCTCCTTACATACACACTCACACACACACAAACAGACATGCATGACTACCTAAAATGACCTTAGATTGTGCCCTTTGTCTGAATTCACGTCAATTTTAAATGCTCCAGAGACACTCTGACCCCCAGTCTGTTCTTGCTGTGTTAGATAATAAGATTTCAATGGAGAGGAGGAACACAAACTCCTCCATACTGACCTCAAGAATGCTGTGAAGGATGTGGCAGGATACATAATGAGAACCCCACTGCACATAATAGAGGTTCACCTTGACTGATATTTGCTACATGTGTCTAATGACCTGCTGAATGGGTTAGACCAAACAGAGTAGGCATAGAAGTCAAAGGACAGCAGAGTGCATTGAGATGGGATGCATTTTATTCGCACTCTGTCACGTAAACATGTGCACACGCTCAGATGTTTTTCTGATCTTTGAAGGAATGGGAGAAAACTGACGGTGAGGAATGCATGGCATCTGTAGATAAAGCGGCACCTGTCGAGGGGCCACTGTAGGCTACTTTGACGATACGACAATGATGTGTAGAGACAGGAACACTGAGTGATGTGGTAATCACTGATACACATGTGCGCACACATAGCATGTGCATGTAAATGGAAAACTTACCATTACTACATTGGCTAAATGTGCAGAGACCAGGGCGTAGACTCCCCCAGACGAGCCAACCACCGGTGCCGTCATATCCGTGACAGACACGGCCAGAGACCCTGCAGTGATGATAAAGGCCACATGTCAGTGAAAATTTATAAATAAATGATGCCATCATTTTACTGTCTGATAATTCATTGAAGAATTATCTTTTCAGTAAATCTTTGTTAAAACCTTTGTTTAAAAAAAAAAACAAACGCTGGGGGTTTTCTTTCTTTTTCAAAGCTGCCACTGAAATTTGAAGTAATGATCAAAGCCTAGGGGATATTTAAAAGGTGAAATTAGACCAAAATAGTGAAATATATAGGATTTCATTCAACCACACCTAAGAAAACTTTCAAGCGATTCAACTCCCTGACTTTCCTTAGGATTAATTCAGTTTAACTCTATTTAACAAATCTATCAATTATATACTTTCTGTTGAAAAAAAAAA